ACCCTAAACCCTAAACCCTAAACCCTAAACCCTAAACCCTAAACCCTAGCTAAACTTGAGGGTTGAGGGTTAAGGGTTTAAGGTTTGGGAGGAGGGGTTTAAGGTTTGGGGTTTCAGGTTTGGACAGGCCAGCATGCCTCTGGGGAGGGGCCTTGGCCGGGATGGCCTTTGCAGGGGCCTTGCCTGGAGGCGACTTGTTGGGCGGGCAGGCCTTGCCGGTAGCACTGGGTGGGGGGTCTTTGGCGATGGCCTTCGGCATGGCCAGACTGACAGCGGCCTTGGGCATCAAACCCTTTGGCAAGAGTGGTTGGGCGGGGCTTTGCTGGCTGAGTCGCCTCTGGCTGAGCTGCCTGGGCTGGCTGGGCTGCCTGGGCTGGCTGGGCTGTCTGGGCTGGCTGGGCTGGCCCTTGCCTTTACCCTTTTGCAAGGGTGCTTGCCCACCAACATGCTGCCAGCCGTGGTCTCGTGTCCAGGTCCACTCACGATCGTCCCGGGATCGTGCTCGCTCCTCTCTGTGCTCCCGCCGGGCCGGGAAGTCCTACAGGGAGTTTTTAGGGTTTAGGGTCTAGGGCTTAGGGGTTCAGGGCTGAGGAGCCAACCCTAAAACCCTGCAGGCCCTTAAACAGTAGAACACATAAACCCTCCAACCCAACACCCTAAAACCCTAAAACAAAACAAAAAGCAACAACCCTGGAACCCTGAAACCCTGAATCCCTTTTGCAAGGGAGAAGGGCCCCGTGCAGCCTCCCACCGCCAGTCGCGGTCGGTCCACCAGCTGTTCCACCAGTGCCAGACGTCGTTCTCCAACTGGTCGGCAGCCTGGTCTCGCCTCCTCTCCTGCCTGGCTCGGCTCGTCGTGCCCGTGCCTGCAGGTCGGCCTTGCCGGTTCTGACCAGGGCCAGCACGGTGAGGCTCGCGAGCGCCAGACATGGCGCGCCCTTGCGAAAGGGCAGTCCCTTTCACGAGGGACTCGAGGAGGCACCCCTTTTGCAAGGGAGACTTATATATATATATATATATATATATATATATATATATATATATTTCATGTGTCTCTCTCTTCTGCTAGAACATGGAACATCTACGAGGTTAAGGGTTTAGGATTTAGGGGTTACGGGGCTCTAGGGTTTAGGGTCAAGGGTTCAGGTGGCTTTAGCGTTTTCGGTCAGGCTGTCGGGTCTAGGCTATAGGTTCAGGGTGTCGGCTTCAGGGATTCGGATCCTAAGATCTGCTATTGAACCTCTGGGGTTCAGGTGTTGCATCTATATACAATATTTCTGTGCATGTACTTGGGCTTTAAGGTTGAGGCTTTCGGTTTACTGTAAGGTTTAAGGGGCTAGGCTCGGGTCCCCTTCCCCCTTTCGTGAGCCTGGTCGGGCGCGGGAGAACAGAATCAGATTAGGGTTTGGGGTTTAGGGCTTGAGGTTTAGGGTTTAAGGTTCCGGGGGCAGAAATATACATATATGGGAGACTATTGAAAGCCTAGGGTAGGGTTTATGAGGATCTGCAGTTTAAGGTTCGGGGTTCAGGCAGCTTAGGTTTTCGGGCTCAGGGTTTCGGGTCTCGGGTGTAGGGCTCAGGATTAGAGACCCTAAGCCCTCAACCCCAAACCATCCACTGCCTGAATGTCAAGACCCTAAGCCCTCGATCAATACTCGAAACCCTCAATCCGAAACCCTCCACCGACTGCCTCAATGTCAGGGTTTCGGGCTCAGGGTTTCGGGTCTCGGGTATAGGGCTCAGGATTAGAGACCCTAAGCCCTCAACCCCAAACCATCAACTGCCTGAATCTCAAGACCCTAAGCCCTCGATCAATACTCCAAACCCTCAATCCGAACCCTCCACCAACTGAACCCTTGGGCGAGGGAGTGCATGGTTTGGGGCTGAACCTCGGGGCAAGGGTTTAGGGTGTAGAGGAGGGTCCAGTTTCGGGTTTTGCTTGAGTTTTTTTGGGGGGTTGAAGCTTTAGGGAGTTCAGGGTTCAGTGGTGGGGTCCCGCCGCACACACACACGCACCCAGACAGACAGACAGACAGACAGAGATACAGAGAGAGCGGGCCTTTTGCAAGGCCGAGGTGGGATATCAAAAATCATAACCCCCTAAATCCTAAACCCTAAACCCTAAACCCTAAGCCCTAAACCCTCAACCCTCAGCCCTCAGCCCTAAACCCACCCTAAATCCTAAACCCTAAGCCCTTGGCCCTAAGGCTTAAACCCTAAACCCGAAACCTATTCCCTCAGCCTCGAATTTTGATTACAATCTATATTTTATATGTATATATATGTATATAAGACTATTATACACATTTCAGTTTTGCACACATATATATATATATATTATCACATATTTGCAAAAGAAACGATACATACATATGTGTGTGTGTGTGTGTCATGGGTGTAACATGTCCCAACACACCTGCCCATTGCCGTCTGAACAAAACTGCATAAGCCACAGCAAGCATCACGAAACCGTTTGTGGGTGTAACATGTCCCAACACACCTGCCCATTCCGCCTGAACAAAACTGCACGAGCCACAGCAAACATCGCGAAACCGTTTTGCCACGAAGCTGCACAATCTGAAAGTGCTGCAGGGTAGAGAGACTTTGCAAGCCCTTTTGCAAGGGGTCTCGAGATCTACAGGCCATCACCCATACTCCTTCAAAAGAGATGCCTTGAGCTGCAGAGCCTCGGCCTTGGTGAGGTGCTCCGTTTTCAAGGCAGACAGCAGTCGCTTCGCGATCTGCTTGAAGTGACAGCTCCGGGCCTGCGAGATCTCCACCACCAGATGGGCCTTGTCGTCACCTTCCTTCTTCCCAGTGATGTACACCCGACGAGGCGAGGCAGCATTCACCTGGTACAGCTTCGCCCAAGGCTTTCGGACCTTTTTCGAGGTCCCGGCCAGGGAAGCTACAGGTCGCTTCATCGCTTTGCCCTTTGGCAAGGGCTGCCTGCTGTAGCCAAGCTTCTCGCGAACCATCTCTCCAGGCATCGTGCTGGGGGGCTCGATGGAGTCGCCTCCACCAGAGTCTGCCTTTTGCAAGGCTCGAGCCCTGTGCCCAGGTCGCAAAAGGCTCCTGGGAGCCAGGTCCCGGGATCCAGAAGGCTTCTCTGGACTGGCCAGCATCTTCGGAAAGCCATCGTCGTCTTCGGAAACAGCCCTGGTAAGCTTCCTCGATGTCACCTTCACAGAGCATGTGCTTCGGGCACCCTTTGCCGAGGACGCTGCCTTTTTCGAGGCTGCACTTGTCGTCTGGGCCTTTTCCAAGGGCTCGTCATCGAAGGTCACCATCTGCAGGACATCCATCAGTCTGGCATACTCCACCCCACTAAGCTTGCAGATGGCATTGCCGGCCTTTGGGTCCCGGGCGAGCTTTCGCACATGGTTAAGCAGCACCACCACCCTCTCCGCTCGCAGCTGCACCCAAGTCGAGCCATTGAAACGAGTCTTGTTGAGGTCCGGCTTGGTGGTGAGGAGCTGCACAAGGCCCTGTCGCAAGGGCAAGGGGTGCACTTCTGCCTTTGAGCAAAGGCCTAGCAACCCTTCTACAAGGGGCAAGCAGTGCATGAGGGCTTTCCAGCCCACCCCAGAGTTCCGGGACAATGTCTCGTAGCCCCTGAAGTCACGGACGATGTCTGTGTGCTGTTCCAAGCACTTGAAAACAGCACCACTCTCCAGCATGGTCTTGCTTCTGTGTCTTGCACCACCTCTGGCCTTTGCCATGCAATGCCTTTCACAAGGCAAATCCCTTTCGCAAGGGAAGTTGCAGCGATCTAACAGTCGGGTTCGAGGTCAGGTTTGAGCAAAATACTACCTTGCGAGGACGGCAGGCCAAGCGATCATGCCATGACCCCCATGCTTGTAGAAACAGACATGCCATGCCACATGCATGCTTGCAAAAGATGACATGAGCCCTTGCAGCCATGACAGAACCCTTGTTTCCACACAAAAAACACCCAACAAAAATCAATATGAAAACCAAGCTAAACGACCCAAAAAATCAAGATATGACCAGAAGCAAAAATCAATATGTCCAACACAATGAAATCAATATGGCTCATATTGATTTAATCAACACAAGACACAAAAATCAATATCAATACAAAAACCCTCCCATATATTGATTGTAATCAATATTCGAGGCTCAGGGTATATATATATATATATTTCTATTTATATATATGCACACACACATACATACATACATACATATATATATATATATATTCATTGTTTTTGTATGTGGAAATAGATATTACGTTCAAATCTATAGGATGATCTAAGGTGCCTGTCTCCCTCCCTCCATGCAAAGCACTAGCAAGTTTAGGCTTCTGGGTCCAGGTGGCCTTGGAGATGTAGCCGCTGCGGTTTAGGGTTTAGGGTTTAGGGTTTAGGGTTTAGGGCTTAGGGCTTAGGGCTTCGGGCTTAGGGCTCAGCCCTCAGGGTTTACGGTCTTACTCTCGGAACTTCAGGCAAGGGGTGCAGAATCCAACTGACAGCGCAGCCTACAGTCCCGCAGCCACCTCCGGATGGCTAGGGCTGATCCCTACCGGTCTCAGGGGGTAATTCGAGTTTAGGGTTTAGGGTTTAGGGTTTAGGCTTTGGGGTTTAGGCTTTGGGGTTTAGGGTTTAGGCTTTGGGGTTTAGGGTTTAGGCTTTGGGGTGTCGAGGGTCTCGGGGCGTTTTGAATTTTTGGAGGGTGCTATAGGGCATGGGTTAGCTTTGCAGCAATCTGGGAAGACAAGCCCCGATCGTTGTATGCGGCAGCTTCCCAACATAGGGGGTGCACTTCGTTTCCTGGGGTCCCAGAACAAGGATTCTCATCGTTTGGGGAATTGAAGGGGGGGTGCCTTTTTTGTATGTACCTCTGTAGTCCCTTGCATACTTTCGCGGAAAAGATCATATACGAAGAGGCAACTACACAAGTATGCAAAAAAAAACGGCACTGCAATGGGAGGTCGAGGTGAGCCCCAAACCCCAAGCCCCAGAGCCTGAAAACAGGCCGGACATACCGGCAGAAGAGACTGTGGCTCACGCCGCTGGGAAGCATTTAGGGTTTAGGGTTTAGGGTTTAATTTCATGGCGTTTGGCCATGGAGACTGCGCAAAAGGCGTAGGATTCTTTCAAGGGTTAACGGTTTAGGGCTTCCTGTGCTGCATGTCCCAAAGACTCGACTTGGCAGGTACATCGTTGGTTTAGGTTTTACATCCAACACAGCTAGCGTTTAGGGTGTAGGGTTTAGGGTTTGGGGTTTAGGGGTTAGGGGTTAGGGGTTAGGGTTTAGGGTTTAGGGTTTAGGGTTTAGGGTTTAGGGTTTAGGGTTTAGCGTTTAGGGTTTAGGGTTAGGGTTTAGGGTTTTCCCAATCCGACAGGGCTTCGGATGTTGGCATTAGCCTCCTCCAATCCCACTTCGTGCAACCCGGGGCCTCCTCCACTTGGAGGTTTAGGGTTTAGGGTTTAGGGTTTAGGGTTTAGGGTTTAGGGTTTAGGGTTTAGGGTTTAGGGTTTAGGGTTTAGGGTTTAGGGTAACTAATCCTAGCTGTACTTATAAGTGTACTTATGACCATATTCGGGCACTTAAAGGGCCTATAAGTGGGTTATAAGTACAGTTATAATTGGTTAAAAAGTACCCCTAAACCCTACACCCTAAGCCCTAAACCCTAAACCCTAACCCCTTTAAGCACAGTTTTCATGGGTTACTAAGTACCCATGGACCTCCGAGCAGAGGCGTCCGCGCCTTCGTGCGAGGGCCGTTTGACTTGATGATGGGGCTGGTCATCTCGCCGCCGGGCCTTCTTTGAGTAGGGTTTAGGGTTTAGGGTTTAGGGTTTAGGGTTTAGGGTTTAGGGTTTAGGGTTTAGGGTTTAGGGTTTAGGGTTTAGGGTTTATTGTGTTTAGGGTTTATTGTGTTTAGAGTTTATGGTTTAGGGTGTAGGGTTTAGGGTTTAGGGTTTAGGGGGTTTGTGTTTGGGGTTGGAGTTTAGGTTAGGGCTTAGAGGTTCGTGTTGAGGGTTTAGGGCTTATAAGGAAATACCAACAGAAGGAACGCAAGCCTCCTGCCTCAGGGAGCGGCAATTTCTGATGTCTACATAGTTCATATTCGATCATATATGTATATATGCGTGTGTGTGTGTGTGTGTGTGCGTAACCAGGGTTCATGTTAAGAAAAATCCTTTGAAAATCAATAAGGGTTGGATTAACATTCATAGCGTTTAATGAATTTTAGTAGGAACTCCTGAACATCCGAATACACTGAAGAAGATTCATGCCAGAGGTCTTAGTACAGTTAATGAGAATCCTACGAAAATTCATAGGAATCCCGAAAAGTATAGAGGGAACAGAGGTTTTTCCTGGGGAAGACGAAGGAAACAGACCCACAAGTTCGTACCGATCCCATGATCATGAGCCGGAATCCTCTGAACATGCAGAGGGAATAGAGGTTTCCTAGGAGACCAAGGACATTGACAAAAAAACAAATACCCCTAAACCCTAAACCCTAAAACCCCTCAACCCCTTAAAAGCAGCATCGGCAAAAGAATAGAACTTCACCCTACTTATTCCTTGAGCATGAGTGGGCTCGAGCCGGTCCTGCAGGGAATGGAGAGTTCCATGAAATTTCGTATCAAAGGCCAGCACTTGGTAGGCCAGTGGTACCCTTTTCCCTTTTTGTTGGTTCAAGGTTCCCTTGTAAATGAACCAACCAAAAGAAGAGCGCCCTTATTATAATATGGTTACTGGGCTACCAAGAGTAATATCTGCTCTTGAGGTTGCTGCAAAGGGGTTTCAGTAAAGTTCTGAACTGTACTTCCTAACTAGACGCATGTATCCTTGGTTGGTGCTTCTAAGCCTTCTTCGTCTTCGGTCCCAAACCTGAGAACTCCACTCGACTGTCTGACATCTAAGGATCAATGCCGTCGTGCCTGAGCTGGCATTAGTTGCCAAACCCTAAACCCTAAACCCTAAACTCTAAACCGTTACTTAGAGACCCTTGAATCCAAGAGGCCCACAGGTTCGACTAGTCCTTTGCAATGAGGTTTCAACAGTAGCCTAGGGTTTAGGGTTTCGGGTTTAGGGTTTAGGGTGAAGGCTGTTGAGCCTTTAGATTCACACAAGACTGTGTTGCTCGTCTTCCCCGTTCCCAGCCCGAACGCTCTGAGCCTTGAAATGGGGTTTCCGAAATTAGGGGTACCCAATTGGGGTCCTTAGTATCAGGGAGTCCTACTAGGGGTCCATATAAGGGGTCCCTTATTTTCGGAAACCCCAAATGGTTTCGCATTAGCAACGAACTCTTGTGCTCTCGCGCTCTCTCTGTTAAGATTCATATCCCAACTGAGCTGAGCACCGAAACTCGAACTAGGGACGCTTCTTGGAGACCCATTTACGAACAGTCCTTAATTGGGATTCGAATTAGCAGTACTATATGCCCTATTTAGGACTGTTTGCACAGGGGGAACATCCCAACCTTCATGCACGATTTGCTTCTGGGCCTGAAAGAAGGCTCGCGTTTCGAGGGCGTCGTCTGCAACTTCCCGTCCTCATTGGGGTATCGGATGTGGACATTTGGACCGAAATTCCGGGCCCTCTTGTGAACACAGAAGTCTAATCAGGGCAGACCCACAGACAAGGGCTTCTGTGTTTGTAGAGAGAGAGAGAGAGAGAGCATCTCAGCCTCAGGTCATGTTCCTCCAAACCATGGAGGAAGGTGCACGCGCTTGGCAGTTTTTGGTCTCCGAGGAGCAGGCCACCCGGCTGGGAGTCATCGGTTTGGGTCTTCAGGGCCTACAAAGACGCGGGTGTACGAACACAAGGGACCCCTAATATAAAGCCCCAAATAGTAGGATTCCCTTATGATGAGAACCCCCGACAAGGAACCCCCCTAATTTCGGCAACCCCAAAACCCTCTACTCTGGCTTGCGTAGGGGTTGGCCCTTGCCGGGTTTCGAGTTTATCGTGCAATACTCCAGGTTTTCAATCAGGTTATGTCTTGATTTGGGGACCTAAGGGTTCAAATGCCCATAGGCTCATTGGGCCTATGCCGTGGCATCTCCCCGAGTTATAGAGCCTGCGGCTTCCTTCGCATGCAAGCGAAAGGACCCACATTCAGACAAGTGGCTGATGGCCTCACATGAGAACTCAGTGCCTAGATATCGGATCACGAATTGTGACGGTTTTTTGGGTACTGGCTCCTGCGCGTGCTCATATTAAGGTATATAGGGCTCCGTCTTAGTATTGGTTAGTATATATGTATATATATATATATATGTATATGTGGTCTGTTGATCTGGGACTTTCATGCGATGTTTATGCGAGAGGAAGGTCTTGGGGGGGTCGGATAATATGTGTACGCAGTTGTTTTTCTATGGGCTATTTTGTTTTCGCGCCGCCCTCAGAAGTAGGCGTGGATGAGAACTCCTGTGTTCGAATTGAATAAACGTGTACATATATATATATATGTATACATATATATATATGTATGTATATATATATATATGTATATATTGGAGGATGGCAGGTGGGGTGAGGGGGAGGGTCTTTTGGGGAATACGAGAGCCCCATGCTTTACTGTCAGGCTGTCAAGTTTCGGTCTTGGCTTCAAAGCTCTGTGACCTATAAAACTTCTGACCACTCCATCCAAAGCCGCGAATCCCTAAGTCCCAGGCCGAAAGTGGCCCGGTTTAGGGTTTATGGGGTTTGGGGTTTAGGGTCTACCTGGACCCCCCCAAAGGATGAAAAAAAAACAGCCCAAAACCTTAGGGTCTCCCACCCCCCCCCCCCCCCCCCCGCCCCCCCCCCCAAGAACTCCACCATGGCCCCACAAGTACACTGCACGAGGCCGGCGCGGTCCACACTGAGATTGCAAGTCTTAGCATCAGTTCGGCCTTCAATGCTTCGGGCTTAGGGCTGGGAGGGTTTAGGGTTTAGGGTTTAGGGTTTAGGGTGTTTTGGGTTTATAGGGTTTATAGGGTTTCGGGTTTAGGGTTTACTTCCCAGCTGCGTCTGTGGGGGGAGGACTTTGAGGCTGCAGTGTTCTGCAGGTACCTAGGACTTCCAGTGGCCCTAAACCCTAAACCCGAAACCCTAAACCCGAATCCCTTCTTCCAGTAAGTGGCTTGTGGTTTAGGGTTCAGGGCTGAGTGTCTTCCCTTCCGAACCTCCTTCAGGAAACGAGACATGTTCGGGTACCTTGGCAAGGGCAAGGGGGCTTGAATGTACCTTGTAGGGCCTCCTGCATGTGCAGACTATTCATGAGCGACGTAAGATTGAAAACTCCAAACCCTGCACCCTAAGTATAGAGTCTACTGCCCACGATCATACCATTACATTCGAAGGCGCCCTCTCACTAGTGTGGATGCGCCGCTCCAGAGCCTGATCAGCCCGCCAAGTGCCACCCCGGACTGCAGCAGAAAGCCGCACGGCGCTCACAATGTGAACGACGTGCAGGAGACATTGCAGTTGCTGCTCCCCGAAGTTTTGCTTCTTCAACAGCGGGAGGATTGCGAGGACTGAATGCGTCGCTGGCATCTTCGCTAGGGCATTTCGAGGCCCGATGTTTTTAGGGTTTAGGGTTTAGGGTTTAGTTAGGGTTTAGGGTTTTGGGTTTTGGGTTTTGGGTTTTGTGTTTAGCGTTTAGGGTATAGGGTTTAGGGTTTTGGGTTTTGGGTTACTTCTTTCAAGGTACCCTCTACCCCAGTTGCAGCGGGTGCAAGCCTGGCCCCGCCTGTCTCCTAGGCAGGATAGGGGGGGGGGGGGCTTGAAAGGGAACCCCCTAAACCCTAAGCCCTAAACCCTATACCCTTCTGGCTCTCTTAAACAGGGACCTCATTCAGAGGGTCTATATCCCCAAGGGTCCCCCAAATCCTATCCCCTACTGTGAAGGGAGGTTTCGGGTTTAGGGTCTAGGGGTTCTCCGCGATTCAACAGTAACAGAACGCTCTACATGAAAGCCCTAAACCCCAAACCCTAAAGACTTTGTGCAGGAGCCTAAGTCATTCCGAAGACTGTCCCCTGCTGCTGGGCTCTTGCTAAGGAACTTTAAGCTACCGTAGTAAAGATGGTTGTCTTATGCCCCTCGTATGGCGACTTCGTCGCTTGAAGCAATTCCGAACCACGCATCCCTTCATAATCTCGAAAACGCCACGAGCCCGCAGCCCCTAAACCCTGAACCCTAAAACCTACCTGCCGTCTCAACACTCTAAACCCGAAACCCTAAACCCTAAACCCCAAACCCCAAACCCTAAACCCTAAACCCTCCCTCTTTGAATTAGTCATCGGGGATTCTAGCACACTACCCCAATTAGGTACCTAGGAGCCTTCAGGTCGTTTGGGGTCAGGAATCCTGGGCTTGGAATTATGGTGGTCTCCATGTCTGTGGCTGTGTTGTATGGGGATTGCAGCAAACTAGGCGAAAAAGCCCGCACCTATCCGAGACCCCCCCCCGAAATTCCCGATTTTTTGGTTTCAGAGTAGAGGGTCTAGAGTGCGAGGCTCGGGGTGTAGGATTCCGGGCATTTCTCCGTTTGGTTGTCGTGCGTAAGCCCTTACCCCTCAATAATGTCCCTAAACCCTAAAACTCCCTACAGCCCTAAAGCCTAAACTCCCTACAACCCTAAACCCTAAACCCTAAACTCCCTACAACCCTACTATCCCAGATCCCCATGAACTCCTGGGTCTGAGGCGGCTGAGTATGTCTTCATCGTCATCTACACCTTCGAGTCTCTTGCCATGAGTTCACAGATCGCCTTGGGTTTAGGGTTTAGGGTTTAGGGTTTAGGGTTTAGGGTTTAGGGTTTAGGGTTTAGGGCCCAGGGAGAGAGGATGGGATGGGGCGGGATTATGGAGGGGGAGTTATTTGAGAACAGGCCCATCGTAGGAGATGAGAATCACTGTGGCTGTAGATTCTGCTCCTCCCCAATGCCCTACCACGATGTGTAGGGCTGCAGACGGGGTATCTACAGTGTCTCAAACCCCCGGGTACCTCGACTTCAGTTCTTGAGTACAAAGCACCCACATGACCGTTAGGGTTTAGAGTTTAGGGTCTTAGTCCTCAGAGTGCATGGTTTCAGGGTTTAGGGTCATGGGGTGATGCAGTAGGTGGGTGCAAGCGCGTAGAGTTTTATGAGATGGATGCTTCGGTGTTCTGCTCAAACCTCAACCCTAAACCCTCACAGCATAGCTTGTCTGATGGTCGGGAAAAAGGGCTCTGGGTCCAGTCGTGTAGTTTTTTTTCGTTTGTTCTGCAGGCACGAAAAAAACTCGCAAAACCCCGAAACCCTAAACCCCAAACCCACAAACCCATAAACCCATAGCGCGAAACCCCCTAGACCCTACCCCCTATAACCCCTAAACGCTAAACCCTAAATCCTAAACCCTACACCCTCAACCCTAAACCCTAGACCCTAAACCCTAAACCCTCACACACAAAACCCTGTTAAACCCAAGACCGGCCCTGCAGGGGTTAGGGCTTATGGGGTTTTAGGCTTGGGGCTCAGAGTTTAGGGTATGGGGTTTAGGGTTTAGGGTTTGGGTTTGGGGTTTAGGGTTTAGGGGGTTCAGGGTGTAGGGCCTTTCCCTGCGAGGTTCGTTATACGGCTTGGCGTCGGGCACTCAGGGGCTTTCCCAAAGTGCAGGATTTGAGGCTGGGTTCTTTAGAGTTTAGGGTTTGGGGTTTGGGGTTTAGGGTTTGGGGTTTGGGGTTTGGGGGCTAGACCCGGGTTCCGAGTTAGCTCTGGAAGAAGAAGGATGCGTGTCTTGACTTTGGGGGACCGGGCCCGTTATTTTTTCAGGTACACCCTAAATGATTCCAAAACCCTAAAGTACCAGCCGGCTACTGCAAGCAGGGCTTTGGGTAGGTTTTTTTTTCTTCAGGAGGTTTGGGTTGAGGGTTGTGGTTTGATGGTTTTGGGCTTTGGGGCTTTGGGGCTTTTTGGGCTTTTGGGTTTTTGGCTGTTGGGCTTTTGGGCTTTTGGGCTTTTGGGCTTTTGGGCTTTTGGGCTTTTGGGCTTTTGGGCTTTTGGGCTTTTGGGCGTTTGGGCTTTTGGGGGTTTGGGCTTTTGGGCTTTTGGGCTTTTGGGCTTTTGGGCTTTTGGGCTTTTGGGCTTTTGGGCTTTCGGGCTTTGGGGCTTTGGGGCTTTTGGGCTTTGGGGTGTTAACAAGGGTTTCAGGGTTTAGGACAGTTAAGGGTTTTCGGATAATCCCTAGTGAGGACTGTTAGTATATGGCGGAACATCCGAAGTTTTCAGGTTCTCGGTTTAGGGCTTAATGTTTGGGTCCAGGTTCGATCGGTCTGCTTTCGCAGGAAGGAATCGAACCCTTGAGCCCTAAACCCTTTATAGTGCACAAAAAAGACGCAGCAAGAAGCAATGCGAGGTCTTGAGCGGCGGTTTCTTTTACGACGGCGAGACGGGCGAAGGGATTCAGTGGTCGAACATGTTCGCGGCTCGACTGCCTTAATTGGAGCCTTTCAACAAGCAGTCCTGACTAAGCCCCAATTAAACCCCCAAACCCCAAACCTCAAACCTGTAAAGTCCTGCGTTCTGCGATTCGACCGGGCTCTAGAGTTTCGCCCTTAAGGGTCCCCCAGCTCAATCTTTGACGGCACCTAAACCCAATTCACTTTGATCCCTACGAAAAACTTCAAGGTGCATGGGAGTTGGAAGTAGAGCTGTAAGTACCCTAAACGCGGGGTTATTCATTCGAATCAGGTAAAATTAGGGTTACCTGCCTTATATCCACGCTTATAACGAACCTCTAAAGTAAGGATCTCAACCCCACCCCCCCCCCGCCCACTGCATTCCTAAGCCCTAAACCCTAAACCCTAAGCCCTACACCCGAAGCCCTAAATCTCAAAGGGAGTGGGGTTGGGGTTTACGTAGTGTCGATAGGATCGACCTGAAGACCCCAAAAGAGCCTCCATGATTGTAGATTACTTAAGAATCCCAACAGGGGGTCTACAAGAAGAACCTATAGTACCTAAGAATCCTACAAGGGGGTCTAGAATAAGACCCCACAGAAAAGTAGGTTTGGGGTCCTTTAGCTAGGCAGCTCTTCAGCATTCTTGATGGGAGGCCGTTCGAACTTCGGGCTCAAGGTTTTGGGGTCTAGGGTTTAGGGCTTGGGGTTTAGGGTTTATGGTTTATGGTTCAGGGTGTAGGGTAGCTCCTCCGCTTAGGCGTCCCTTGTCCGTAAGGCAGCCCATGATGATGTAGAGGCACCTCTGAATGGACACTTAGAATCCAGCAACACCCCCTAAACCCTAAACCCTAAACCCTACCTACATAGGCCGGAAGGCCTCCGCACACGACACCGGAACTCCAAGCATGTGTGGGACCTCTCACTTCCCCCATTGAGTCGGTATTAGGGTTTAGGGTTTAGGGCTTGGGGTTTGGGGTTTAGGGCTTAGGGTTCATGATGTTTGTTTGGGCGGGGGGGGGGGGGGCACAAAGCTATAAACCCTAAACGACATAAACCCCCTAAACTTCAGGACTTCAGCTGAAACCCTATAAACCTTATAAACCCTAAAAACACCCTCTAAACCCTATAAACCCTAGAAACCCCTAAACCCTGAACCCTAATCCCTAAACCCACGAACCACAGCGGACCGAGCTCCCCCAGACGCATTCAGGACGCGCTGATTCTCTTCATAGGCATCCTATCTGGGAAAAGGGTGTAGACCTAAGGGTAGTTTCAGAGTCGGGTTCAGGGTTTAGGGTTTAGGGTTTAGGGTTTAGGGTTTAGGGTTTAGGGTTTAGGGTTTAGGGTTTAGGGTTCAGGGTTCAGGGTTGAGGGTTTAGGGTTTAGGGTAGTAGTTTCATGGTCTCTTAATATGGTTCCCGACCTCCTTCGAAAGGTTCTGATGTCTGGGAACTTAGTTTGTATAGGGTAATTATACGAGAGGTGTATAAGGGGTACCCTTTTGAGGGGTCATACTAAGGGACCATGTGACTTCCCTACGAGTAGAGTGTCGGTCCGGGGGGATCAATCCAACCTTGAGGGACATAGGGTTGAGGCTTCAGGGTCTTTCTTGGGCTCCTTAGCTTCATTCTTGGCACCCCTAAACCCTAAACCCTAAACCCTAAACCCTAAACCCTAAACCCTGAAGCCCCTAGAGCACTGCCCAGCTACTCCTTGGCACCGTGGTCTCCTAAACCCTAAACCCTAAACCCTACCCTTGCTGGAGCTTAAGAGGGTTCGATTCAGGGATGTTCTTTCTGAGGGCTTAAAAGGTGCCAGCCTAGCCCTCGAAAGGGTTGTCATGATGATTCTTGCGACATTCCGATAAGGTCCCAAAAATTTCAAATCTGGAGGTGTACGAAAATCAGGGGCCCTCAATATAGACCCCCAAATAGTAGGAGTGCCTTATAGCCAGGACCCCAATAAGGTACCCATAGTTTCGAAAATTTCAGTTTTTTCCCACAAGGAGCCATTAAGACAGTTTAGGGTTTAGGACCCTAAGCCCTAAACCCTAAACCCTGGGGCTTTAAGGTTTAGGGGTACTCTCATTGGGCCTTCAATATGATCCCTTACCTCCATTTAAAGGGTTCTGATGTCGGGGTCCTTACTTTGTTAAGGTATATCAGGGGCATATAAGAGGTACCCTTTTACTGTAAGGGCCCATACTAAGAGACCATGAACTACCCTAAGATGTGGGGTTTGGCCCGGCTTCATTGGAAATCTACACGTAGCATCTTTGCATCCCATATACATATATGTATTTTCATATATACATATATATACATACATATATATATATATACAGATATCTTTCCATCTGCATATTTGTCTGCGCACGTATGTAAGTATCCATTTTTTTGAGGGCTGGTTTGGGAGAGCTTGTAGGGGAGTAGGGGGTTCAGGATTTCGGGTTTAGGGCTTAGCTACCATTTGCTTGAGAGCTAAGAGCCCTCCAGAAACGAGGAATAACTATCCCTGGATTGCCCTTGTAAGGAAGTATATATCTATCTACATATATATATATGTATATATATATATATATGTGTATATGTACACCGTTTTTTTTTTTTGGGGGGGGGGGGGGAGGGGGGCGGGGTGGGGGGGGGGGGGGGGGGGGGGGGGGGGGGCGGGGGGGGGGGGCGCGGAGGGGTTCTCCAAATAGTCGTTACAGGGTGGGTTAGGTTTAGGGGTTCGTTCGCTGCAAGAGCCCCGAGGCATTGCGGACCTGTTCATCTTGCGAAACCTCACAGACGACGGAGACCCTCTCGGCTTTCGGTTGTTGAGTTGTGCTCAGAGGGTGATGGAACTTCTTGTCACACCCTAAACCGGAAACCCTAAGCCCAAAGCCCTAAGCTCTAAGCCTTAGCCTTAGACCCTACGATTTTTCTTGCCCAAACCCCACATGGTGTTCGGTGTTTTGAGGTTTCGGGTTCAGGGCTTTTAGGGAAGCGACATCCATCTCCCTGAGAGGATCCTTCATGGAAACCGTCCCGATGGCAAAGATGTTGCGCTTCATCAAGGCAACCTGTCATGATACATTTCGACACGCACACACTGTTGCCGGCTCAGGTTCTCTAAGCCTGTAGAATCTGCTAAGCACTGACCTAAACAGAACTCCCAAAGGCTCTCTACGACTCTAGGCCCGAACTCTATACGCGAACCTGGTAGGTAGCCGCTCATGAGATGAACGGACATTCAGGATCAAAAAACAGCCAAGTATTTTTGTTTATCTAGAAGCCCGTGAAGGACGGGCTTTCGAGACTTCTCATGGAAATGGGTGATGTTAGAACTTGGCCCCTTGCAGGTACATTTTTTGCTGGAATCCCTGAACTCCCTGGTAACAAGGGACGGCACGAATTTGAACAAGCCCGAACCCCAGTGACAGCACACCCCGCCCATTGCACTTGCAAGGGGTTCCAGAGTAGGCAGACTCAGTAGGGCTTAGGGCTTAGGGCTTAGGGCTTAGGGCTTAAGGTGTAGGGTTTAGAGTTGAGGGCTTAGGGTTAAGACCATCACGTCTGTATGCCCGACACCCTAAACCCTTGACCTCAAACCCTCAAACCTTTCTATTCTGATCCTAGGCCACACTTAGTATTTTCACACAAATTATCCTTTGAGCAGCTTTTCGCCTTTCTCCAGTATTCTCTGAAGAAACCAGAGCCCCAACAACCGAATTCTAAGCCCCGCGCGAGGTGACGCGTGCGCTGCGTCTTTTTCGAGCCGGCTGTCTGGGTTTTTTCTGGAAATGGAGACATCAGTTCTAGACTTGAGGTCGAGTCTTTAGGCTTCTTTCTTTAAGTTTAGGGTTGGTAGGGTTTAGGGTGTAGGGTTTAGGGTTGGTAGGGTTTAGGATGTAGGGTTGAGGGTCTAGGTTTGAGGGTTCAGGGTTTAGGGTTGAGGGTTTAGGGTTTAAGGTTGGGGTGCCGGCAGCATTGGAGTTCAAAGATCACTGGCGTCTAGGATGTAAACCAAGTAGCCTCGGGGGGTTTCAGCATGTAACCAACCCAAATCTTGGACGTCGGATCTTCCCAGTTTTTCACAAAGAAGAAATCTGTGAAGGACCAAGAACTGGGCGGGTGAAGCGCGTGCAGACCCTTCTTTTTGCCAGGTGTGTGATAGCGAAGGCTTCAGTAAATTGAGTCTATGGAGTCTATGGACACAAAGGAGGTTAAAGCACATTATAGAGTTGGAGACAGAGTTCGGGACAAACAAAGGGCCGAGGGGAAGACGACTTCACTGGCGCAGTTAGCTAGGATGCCCAGTAGTACCCTTATTCCCTTTTTGAGGGGTTTAGGTTCCCTTATAAACCCCTTTAAGCAAAAAAGGGCACCCTTTTTAAGCCTAGGTTACTGGGCAGCCTAGTTAGGGAAGATCGAAAATCAAGTCTGAGGCTGCTTTAGGGTCGGTTAGGGCTCTGGTCAAAGCCCAAATTACACAAATTGCTTACACCCCAAACCCTAAATCCGGTCGGAAGATCTTAGTCTGAAGTCTGAGCTCCTCAAGCGTCGGATAACAAAGCCCCAAACCCCAAACCCCAACCCCTAAACCCTAAACCCAAAACCCTAATCCCTAATCCCTAATCCCTAAACCCTAAACCTTGGGACCCAGACCCGGAACCGGGACCCTCCGACCCGGAATCGCCATCTGCAGTTGAGCATATCGGATACTTGAAGGTTCATGGGTAGTCATAAGTAGGGTCATAAGTGCCCTACTAAATCAGGTTATCACCACTCACAACTATAGTTATCCCACTTAGAGCCCCAGTTATGAACCTCCAAGTACTACTATAATCCGTATTAAGGTACCCGAAACCCTAAACCCTAAACCCTAAACCCGAAACCCTAAACCCTAAACCCTAAACCCTAAACCCTAAACCCTAAACCCGTCAAGCCTGTAGGGCTGGAGGTTTGCCTGAGAGCCCCCAAGCAGACATAATGACTCGGCCCTACCAACGGCTGAAGACTAAGGCGATCTTGCCCTAAACCTTAAACCCTAAACCCTGAACCCTAAACCCTACACCTGAAACCCTAAACCCTAAACCCTAAACCCCAAACCCTAAACCCTAAACCCTTTCTTCCCTAAACCTCGGTCCCCAAAACCTTACTGGGAACCTTCCGGCAAAATATCATTGACAGGTATGCCCCTGTTTGGGGTCTCCAAGAAAACAGGGAACCCTTACAACACGGACCTTTCAAAAGGAGCCGAATTTCGAGATACCCTAAAATATAGAGACGGGTGCTTCCCAAAGTCATGGGTACCTGTTATATAGCGGGTCCATCTAAACGGGGTTCTGCTACATTTGGGGCACATACCGGGGTATCCCCATCTTAGGCCTTTTGAACAATGCTCGTTACAGGCCTTTTGGGGGTTTGCCTCAGGTTGTCAAGCTTTTTCGGCAACTGCGGATTCTCACATACACCATCCTTGCGACACCTGCCAGCAAGATTCGCGTGCAGCCTCCTTGGGGTTCGGGGTGGATCCTGGGAATTTCGGGCTTGCGGTGCACCGAACCCTAAACCCTAAACCCTGAACCCTAAACCCTAAACCCTAAACCCTAAACCGACAGGGTTTATGGTGTAGGGTTCAGATGAACCCCAGCTTAAAACACCTGGATGCCAAGCCCTAAGCCCTGTAGGGCGTGATGGTGAGTTGAGGTCCCAGGTCTGCGGCAAAGTAGAGGCTTGAGGTGTCGTGGCGTTGGGGTTTAGAGTAAAGGGTTTAGGGCTCAGAGTACGTACCCCAAGCCCTGACCTGAGAGTTGGGAGGTGTACCTTAATTTTGGGGCTGCATGCACGAAAACGTAAAGACCTAAGCCCGACATCCAGCTAGGGCTGAGGAGGAGTGCCGAAAGCACAGTTGCAAAAGCCCTTAACCCTAGGGCCCAAAGGCCTAAACCTAAGCCCTAATCCTGAGCCCTGAGCCGTATATGCCCTGAGCCATTCGAGCTTTCGCATCTTGTGATTGTAGCTTTTGATGTGCTCTTTCCCCAGCGCCTGTTTATGGGCAAAATTAGAGTACCAACGTGTTTGGCTTTAGATTAGGGTTCGGGGGGAGGGAAGGCTGTATTCTATTTGGGAGCGGTTACTTTGGGTTGGGCTACAAATGTATGCGTACCTTTGGATGCGATGCAAGGCAAGGTACGGCAAAGCAATGCAATGCTGCGAAAAGCAAGGCAAAGCAAGGCAAAGCAAGGCAAGGCATTTCAAGGCAAGGCAAGGCAAGGCATTTCAATGCACGGCAAGGCACTTCAATGCACGTTTTTCTTATTTCTGGCTGTTTCGTGGTTGCTTCTTTCTGCTCCTGAGCTCCAGGATTCCTGCGCAGTCGGATTTTGGGGCCCCTGAAACCCTAATCTCTGACCCCTAAGACGCGAAACTGCGTAGGATCTAAACGCCCCTCCATCCGAGGAGTGTCGGCGCGCTCTTTTGGTCCATGATGCTACTGCTGCTGCTGAATGCGGTGGGCGGCATGGTGCTGAGCCAGGCCAAGAAACCCGAAACCCTGAACCCAAGAAAGTTCAGGGTTCAGGTTCTTTGAGGGTTGAGGGTTTGGGGTTTGGGGTTCAAAGATCTAAGGTTTATGGGTTGAAAGTTGGGATGTTCCTTACTAGCAGTCCTTCATAGGGAGTATAATCGGGGGTACTATAATTCCCTTTTACGGACTGCTAGTATAACGGTGAACATCCCAACCTGAAACCCTAAACCCGAGAAAGTTCAGGGTTCAGGATTCTACCCAAAACCCTAAATTAGGGCTAGGTCTCTAGGGGTGATTGTGTTGTTGTTTCAGTCTTGCTTGTGAGCTGCTTAGGGTTTACGGAACCTGCAGCAGGATGCCCAACCCCTCTTCTTTGGAGAGGCCTTGAAAGTTTCGGGTTTAGGATGCTACGCCGGTCAAGCTACGCACCATAAACCTTTCCGGTCCTTTCAACCCTCAACCCTAAACTCCTAAACCCTAAACCCTAAACCCTAAACCCTAAACCCTTGTTGGAGAAGGGGGAACATCCCGACTTTCGACCCTAAACCCCTAAATCTTTTGAACCCTAAACCCCCAAACCCTCAACCTTCAAACCCCCAGAAACCCTAAGCCCATCAAGCCTGGAGCTTCCGAGATCCTCTTGAAAAAGGGTTTAGGGTTTAGGGTTTAGGGTTTAGGGTGCCTACAGTTTTGACACCGTCTTTCTTGGAGGTCCATTTGGGTAGTTACACGTGGGCTCACGATTAGGATGATTTCAGCAAAATATGTGTTGTTTTTCTCTACTTGGGGTTCTTATATCCGTGCTTATCTTTAAGTAGTACAGGCGTTTAAAAAAACAAACAGCCTTAATCAACACCCCCAGCCCCTAAACCTAAATCCACACTCAGCCCTAAGTCCACCCACCCCCTAAACCCTAAACCCTAAACCCTAAACCCTAAACCCCAAACCCCAAACCCCAAACCCCAAACCCCAAATGGAGAGTCCAGGCCCTGCAGAGCTACATTCTGGACACGGAGCAGCCGCACGGCGACCGCCAGCGGCTCCGCTGCCATTTGGGTTCTTGGGAGACGTCAGGTTTGGCGCGGGTGGTGGGGGATTTGGGGTTTAGGGTTTAGGGTTTAGGGTTTTTGGGGCTTTTTTGGGTTTCCGGGTTTTGCGACTCTTGGGTTCTTCGGGCTTTTAGGGTTTGAGGGTTTGAGGGGCGGGTTTGGGTTACTCGGGCTTTGGAGTTTCTCGGGCTTTTCAGGGCTTCAGGATTTTGGGGCTTGATCAGGGCTTTTAAGTGTTTTGCATGTTTTGGGGGGGTTTGGGGGGCTTTCGGGTCTTTGAGTTTTGGGGTGTTGGGTCTTTAGGATTTTGGGGGCTTGAGGGCTTTAGGGGAGGGACTCAACCCTGAACCCTAATCCTAGACTTGAAACATCCGATCGCAGACTTGTCAATGCTCAACGTGGTGCTGCCAGCCGATCATGGTGGTTGTTCCCAGAAGCCCTAAACCTAAACCCTGAACCCGACAGACCCGAAACCCGAAAACCCTATATTCCCTAAACCCGACAGACCCCAAGACCCTAAAGAGCCTAAAGACCCTAAAAGCCCTAAATTCTATAGACCCTAGACCCGAAAACCCTAGGCCCTGAGCCCTACATACCCTGAACCTGAAAAACCTAAGCCCTAAACCCTGAACCCTCTAGACCCTGAACCCCTAGACCCCAAACCTATAGACCCTAAGACACCAAAGACCCTAAGTCCTAAACACAAAGCCCTAAATACCCTAAACCCTAAAAAGCCTCATAACCCTAAAAACCCTAAACGTCCTAAACCCTAGATAACCTAATAAGCCTACAAACCCTAAAAACCTTAAACCCAAAAGACGCTAAAGAACCTCAAGGCCCTGAACCCTCTAGTCCCTAAAGGCCCTAAAGATCCTAAAGACCCTAAAGACCCCAAAGACCCCAAAGACCCCAAAGACCCCAAAGACCCCCAAAGACCCCCAAAGACCCTAAGCCCTATAGTCCCTAAACCCTAAACCCCACGCCCTCAATCCTGAGCCCTAAACCCTACACCCTATAGTCCCTAAACCCTAAACCCTAAACCCTATAGTCCCTAAACCTAAACCCTAAACCCTAATATGGGAGCCAAGGTTGGTCTTCAAGTTGTTTGGCGACTCTGCCCGGGCCATGTACACCATGTTTGACTCTTTGTCATTACTTAGGGTTTAGGGTTTAGGGTTTAGGGTTTAGGGTTTAGGGTTTAGGGTTTACGGTTTACGGTTTAGGGTTTGCCGTACTTACTCTACATGCTTAAGGGAAGGCCTCGTTCAGGGTTTAGGGTTCAGGGTTTAGGGTTTAGGCCAAGTAGACCTTCGGATTTCAACAGCTTCGGACCTTAGGAAGAGCAGCGCGAAACTGACATGTCGTTGGGATGCGCTCGGGCTGATGTCTAGCTCCGCCTTTGCATATCCAGAGAGCCCCATATACTCCCCCTTAATCAAGGAAGATGCTTTGATTCATAACTGGTTCATGTTTTAAAACATCGAATTTCTGCAATGATTAACTTAACAGTTCTATAGGCTGCAACCTTGTGAAGTCACATAGGGCCCCTAGCACTCCGCGACAATGTGGCAGAGCGTATCTCTCAGGGTTCAGAGTTTGGGGTTCAGGGTTTCGGGTTCAGAGTTGCCCCTAAACCCTAAACCCTAAACCCTAAATCCTAAACCCTAAACCCGAAGTTCATTCGATCTCGATCTCGTCGCACATGAGGAAGTGACGCACAGTGGGTGCTGGCCAAACTACGCGCGGCCGCTCATCGACGGGGTGAGCCCCTGGAAGCTTGTCTCAGACTCTGTTGCGGAGTGCGGGTCCTTTATCCCTAAACCCTAAACCCTAAACCCTAAACCCGAAACCCTAAACCCTAATCCCTAAACCCTAAACCCTAAACCTAACCCCTAAACTTCGTGCTCCCGGTCATTGCATAACCCTGAGCCCTAAACCCGAGGGCTGAGCTTCGGAGGCCCAACAACTGGATCTTTTGCGCAAATCGTAGGGTTTCTTTTTGGTAAACCCTAAACCCTAAACCCTAGAACCTAAACCCTAAACCCTAAACCCTAAACCCTAAACCCTAAACCCTAAACCCTTCCCTTCCAAGGTTTGCTTGCTTCTTCATGATATACGTGGCTCTGGTCGTGTTCGCCATCATCAGGACGTTTGTTTGGTTACATGTTGGATGTTTCGTAAAGTACGCACCCGCACATATGTATAGAACCCTAAACCTCAACCGCCACATTATATATTCGGAACCCAAAAAGTCCTAGAGGGCTACGTCCAGTAACCCTAAACCCTAAACCCTAAACCCTAAACCCGAAAGCTAGGGTTCTGGGCCCTCAGGGCCTCAGAGCTAGCCAAACCCTAAACCCCTCGTGTAGCTCTGGCATGAGTTACTGGGCCCTCAAAAGGGTTTGGGGTTCAGGGTGTAGATTAAGTAGGCTAACGGCTCCCACATGCCGACGGCTCATGTCCATTCTTCATCATGCCCCCCCCCCCCGCCCCCCCAATCGCTTTGCCCTCTATAAACCTGACACTTACCTGGACTCCATTTACCCATTGTTTTGGGGGTCATGCCCTATAATTCGGGGTTACAACCTACCATTTCGTAGGGTTAGGAGTCACAGGTAAACCCTCATCCCTAAGCTTAAACCCTAAACGGCAAACCTGGGTCCTCATCTGTCCATCCTACACCCTGAAACCCTACACCATCCGTCTCATCCAGATGCGCAGAAGGGCGAGCGAGCCCAATACCTCTTAGCTCAGGCATCTACCGTAAATTATGGCGGGATTCTACCCTCAACCCTCAACCCTCAACCCTAAACCCTAAACCCTAAACCCTAAACCCTATAAACCCTAAACCCTAAACCCAAATTAGGGCTTCGGCCTGAGGCTCAGGGGCCTGGCTTCGAATTTGCTGTTAACGGCCGGTCGAGTCAGCGCAGAACAGCACAGGCATTCCAGCGCTAACCTCCCCAAACTCCCTTGGAAACCCGACAGGTCTACCACAAGTATTTATTCCAGATATTCCTGCACAAAGGGAAGTGTACCGTGATGTTTTGATGTCGTCATTTTGAGAGCGCTCGACTTCAAATTACAATATTCAGCAGAACCATCGATGAGGGCGACTGCGCAAAAAACACGGTGTGCGTCAGCAGGATCATCTCGGCGATTTTCCTCAAAGAGACCCTCCACGTTGCATCTAACGATGCTGTCATGGTCGTCCAGGAGCGCAAGGGTCTGATAGGCTTGTGGGCTTCGGCGATCGGGTTTAGGGTCTAATTAGGGTCTATAGGGCTCCAACGCACAGACAGGCTTGCTGTGACCCTTGAAGGCCCCGACTCTTGCGCCCTTGGTGTTGCCTGTTGGCCTCTGAGGTTTGGGTCCAGGGTTTTGGGTTCGATGTAGATATTTCATTATGGTTGCGGGTGGGGGGGGCAGGAGCGCATGCGTGAGCGGGCGGAGTTTCAGCGGAAGCTGGCCGAATTCTTCCAGGTGCGCTGCCGCAGCATCCTTGGTCATGGGAACGTTCGCTCAAGACCATGGGGAGTTGTTTGGGCCTTGACTTTTGCGTTCATGGTTTGGGGTGAGGCTTCGTTTCTTGCTTTCAGGGTTTAGGGTGTGTGGCAGGGGGTTTACGGTCTGGGCGTGTCTTGTACAGGGGTTTGCTTGCTTGGGAGCTGCTACGTGCGGAAGATTCTTCATGTCCCCACAGTTCCTCAACGCCTGCCTTGGAGACACTGTGAACCCTAACAGGGTTTAGGGTTTTAGGGTTTAGGGATTAGGGTTTAGGGTTTATTGGAAGTTTCATGGGTAGTTATAATTAGGACGGTAAGTACCGATGACTTGGTCGTAACCAGTAACCTTGATGGCTCATGGGTAGTTATCAGTAGGGCGGTAGGTACGCTTTTATTTGGTTGTAACTTGTAACCGGTTCTAATGTCCAGTTAGAGTTACCTTGCTTGTAACCCCAAACCCTAAACCCTAAACCCTAAACTACCCATGAACCTCCGAGCATGGTCCATATGCCTGAAGAGGGTTTTTAGTAGCACAGGGTGTGCGATTCCAACTTTAGGATTCGTTTGCGTTTAGGGTTTAGTTTTTAGGGTGTAGGATTTAGAGTTTAGGAGAACTGGAAGGTTCAGGGGCGCTTGAAGGCAGGCTTTGAAGTAGGGTAGCTGTGGTTGGAAGCCCAACCCTCAGGTACGTAAGACCCTCCTATGAACGACCAATGAACATTCAAGGGTTTAGGGTTTAGGGGTTTGGGGTTTAGAGTTAAGGGTTTCGGGTTTAGGGTTTAGTCTTTGCCCAATGCTTCTGGCAATACTATGAGGAGGCACCAAATCCTGCAGCTCCGAACCTGCTCAAGCAATTCAGGGACGCAGGGTTCAGAGTTTAGGATTTAGGGTTTATGGTTCAGGGGGTTTATTATTCAGGGTTTAGGGATTGCTTTAAAAACAAAGGGTCCCCCAAAACCTTCAAACGTTTACACCACCAACCCTGAACCCTCAACCCTGAACCCTGAGCCTACTAAACTTGTTTGGTTTTTTTGGGGTTTGTGGTTTTTTTGGCTTTTTCTGAGGACAGGCCCGGCATCAATCAACGTAGCCAGAGATTGCCAGCCCCCGCCCGCAGGAAGCCGATGCTGATGGATCTGGCAGCCTAGCTGAATGCCGACCCTAAACCCCAAAAGCCTTGAAAACCCGAAAGACCTAAAAGCCCTAAAGGCCTAAAACCCCTTAAAAACAAAAAAAGCCCTAAGAGCTGAAAACCTGAGAACCCCTTCCCACCCCCCAAAAAAAAAAACCTGAAACCCTGACAGCCCACAAACCCTGAAACCCTAACAACCCTTACATCGGGTTTAGGGTTTAGAGTTTAGGGTTTAGGGTTTAGGGTTTAGGGTTTAGGGTTTAGGGTTTGGGACCCCTAGGGCTTCAACAGAAGGAAGCAGCTGAGCCGGCCTGTGGCGGAAGGTTGAAAGCAGGAATAAGAAAAGAAATTTCCCTCCAAAGGTCTGCGAGCGCTCGTTTTTTGCGTGGTTTAAAGTGTTGGTTGTTGAGGGTTGAGGGTTGAGGGTTTAGGGTTTAGGGTTAAGGGTTAAGGGTTAAGGGTCCAGGATGTAGGGTTGAGTTTTTGTTGGGCTACTTGGTCCTTGCTTTGTTTGTTTTCTCGGTACTTGTTCTGGAATCCGGCTCTAGCCTTCCTGCAGCTCATTTGTTCGCTGCCTTAGCTTGGGAGGAAGGTTTAGGGTTTCGGGCTTCGGGTTTCGGGTTTAGGGTTTCGGGTTTAGGGTTCAGGGTTCAGGGTTCAGGGTTTAGGGTTTGGCTTTGTTTTCAGCTACAGGTAGAAACCCTAAACCCTGCACGCTAAACCGCGGGACCTCTCCGTCCGATTGGCCTATTCAGACTAAAAGAGCCCTGGAGCCCTAAACCCTGAGCACTAAACCCTAAACCCTAAACCCTAAACCCTAAACCCTAAACCCTAAACCCTAAACCCTAAACCCTAAACCCTAAACCCTAAACCCTAAACCCTAACCTAAACCCTAAACCCTAAACCCTAAACCCTAAACCCTAAACCCTAAACCCTAAACCCTAAACCCTAAACCCTAAACCCTAAACCCTAAACCCGAGCCCAGAAATTTGAGCCCATGGTGGCAGACCCAAGGCTGCGTATCGCGAGACGAGTTTGAGATTATCCTCCAGGACGCATACGTAGGGTGCAAGGTTCCGGGCTTTTAGGTTGTTGGGTTTAGGGTTTAGGGTCTAGGGTTTAGGGTTTAGGGTTTAGGGTTTGGGGCTTAGGGTTCCCAAAGCCTGGAGGGCCACTTTGAAAACCTCCCAGACAGGCCCCTTCAGCTTACACTCCAAGCTCCCGAGCCTGAGCCTGATAGCCTAAGTTTGCGGAGGGTCTTGGGGTTTAGGGTTTAGGGTTTAGGGTTTCGGGTTTAGGGCTTAGGGTTTTGGAGTGTTCTTCCCGCGCGATGGTGAGAAGCTTAAACGGGGACCCTTAACTGGGAACCAGTGGAGGCCCTTATTCCCAAATCTTCGGGCTTAGGTTTCCTGTCTAAACCCTAAACCCTAAACCCTAAACCCTAAACCCTGAACCCTGAACCCTGAACCCTTTTAAACCAAAAAGGGAACCCTATTTCATTCCTAGCTTCTCTTGGGTCTAGATCCTTTTAGGGGGACAACTTGAAGCTCTCCTACAGCCCAAAAGGCTTTAGGGTTTCTGGTTTAGGGTTTAGCGTTTTGGGCTTAGGGTTTAGGGTTTAGGGTTTAGGGTTTAGGGTTTAGGGTTTAGGGTTTAGGGTTTAGGGTTTAGGGTTTAGCCTATGAAGCCAGGACAAGCACGCTGCGCTACTCAGCTGCCCTTACGCTCTCAACGCATCATATGGCGACCTCCTGACAAGATTTTGGACATCCGACACCCGAAAGCCTTCAGGGTTTAGGGTTTAGGGTTTAGGGTTTAGGGTTTAGGCTTTAGGCTTTAGGGTTTCTTGGTCAAGGTCCTTCTTGGACAGCTTGGACCTGCAAGCGTCCGATGCGCACAGGTTGCTGGACAAGTCTGTGAAGGGTCGGGGTTTAGAGTACCTTAAGAACCCAAAACTTACACCCTAAACCCTAAACCCTGAACCCTAAACCCTAAACCCTAAACCCTAAACCACTTGCCTTTTTTGTGTTGGCGACCTAAGGATCCTACGAAAAAAGTAGGTTTTGGGGAGGAGAGTGTACTGGGAGGTTCAGGGTAGTTGAAACCCCAATACCACTGTTCTCATAAGCCCCCTAAGTCTTCTAAGTAGGTTATGCGTAGCAGTAGACTTATAGAAGTGCGATTTTACGTACCTATGAACCTTCAAGTAGAGTTTGGGATCGTTTAGGATGCTTAAGGTTAAGGGTTTCATGTTTTTGCGGTGTAGGGCTTTAGGCGTTATAGGGATTTGGACATTCGGGGCTTTGGGGGGGGGCTTGGGGGGGGGGGGGGGGGGGGGGGGGGGGGGGGGGGGGGGGGGGGGGGGGGGGGGGGGGTGGGGGGGGAGGGTATGGTGTTTTGGCTTTGGGGCTTCAGAGGTTTGAGGGTTTGGGCTTTGGTCTTTTTTGTGTGTAGCATTGATCAGCTGAATGCCGCAGTCTGAAGGCATGCTCCTATACCGCAAGCACTTTCCAACACTTAGTAGCTGAGTGAGCACCATTTACACTTTTTGGGATACTAGAATCCGCCATAGAACTGAAGGTTTACACTTTTGGGGGGCTTATGAGCTCAGCAACTAAGAACAAAACAAGCCAAAGTCACGCGTCGCAAGCTAAATGTCAGGCCCCAAGGGAAGTCCAGGCCGGAGGCCCTTTTGTCATCGAGCCGCACTCGAGTGGGAAGTTCTCAGAGAACTTGTATGATCCTACCTAGTGGAACCCTCAACCCTAAGCCCTAAACCCTAAACCCTATATACCCTAAACCCTAAACCAACCGCTTCTGGTCTTTTCAGTTTGAAAGCCTTCGGGCCTCGAAGCGCTTACGTTTTTTCGTTGGGAGATTTGGGCCGAAGAGCCTGTCATGTCTGCTACTATAATCGAATGTTTTCGGGCTTTCGGTTTAGGGTGTAGGGTTTAGGGTTTAGGGTTTAAGGTTTAGGGTCCAGGTTCCCATGAGAATGACAGCGTTTCTGGAGATGATTACGTTCAAGGAGTTTCCCTGAGGTATTATTTGTGAAAAGCTGCTCAAGCACCCGCAGCACAAAGCAAATCCATCTCTTGGTTGCGTAGTCCTCGTTTTCGACGTTCTTTTCGACACCATGGCCCAAACTTTAAACCGTGAACCCTTCATAAGCCCTAAACCTTCTGCGCCCTAAACCTTTCCAGAATCCAAGTGAGCAAAGCCGTAGCAAATCTGCCCAGCCCAAGCCCAAACTCATCAGCCTTCTGACGTTCCGGATCTGGCACAAGGCACAAAAGCGAGGTCCCAGTGGGCTCTTTTTTTCGCTTTTGGGTTTCTTATAAAGCTACCCAATACCAAACCGAGCTACAGGGATTCCCATGGAAAAAGAAGTCCCGCCCCACGAAAAAACACGACCCGAGACCCAAAAATCCAGAACCCCGAGCCCCAGATCTTAAACCTCCAAATCCTTTCCACACAGATCACCCACAACACTCACGTCGAATGCCTGTGTCACTAGTAGAGGCCTGTAATTTTTTTCTCGGGAGATCAGTCCACACGATCTAATGGTTTATGGGGTTCGGAGGGCCCCAAACTTTCATCTTACCAAGGCTAAACGCTAAAGCCTCTTCAACCTCTAGACTCTAGACCGTAAAACCCTAGAACCCTACAAACCCTAAAACTCCAAAACCCTACAACCGAAAACCCTAAAACTCTAAAACCCCAAAACCCCAAAACCCTAAAACCCTAAAACTCTAAAGGCTTTGCATTGGGCCGTTTCAGCCTGAAGCCACGAAGCGCGCCAGGTTGTTCGACTTGCTCGACGATGGCTCTGGGCAGGTCTGCGTAAGCCCGAAGCCCTAAACCCAGAGTTTAGGGTTTAGGGTTTCGGGTTTAGGTTTTAGGGTTTAGGGTTTGGGTTTAGGGTTTGGCGGCGCAGGGTCTGGGGTTTGGGGGTTTAGGGGTAGTATTCCAATTACGAGGTGGTGGTTGAGAACAGCAGACGTGCTACCACGGGCATACTTCTCGGAGAGGTGACCTACGACGTCTTCATCAAAGGGTGCATGCGCCTGAAGGGACAAGCACGCTCACAAGATGTCATCAGATGCTTGGCCGCGTTTAGGGTCTTATAATTGGGGTTATTGCCCTAAACCCTTTACCCTAAACCACCTATAATTGGGGTTATAAGTACCCATGAACCTCCCCAAGTAGTGCAGAAACCACTCAGAGCGACTCCTCAGAGTAGCAAGCCAAGACCAAAATTGTACATCCAGTCGGGTGTTAGGGGTCAGGGTTTGGGGTTTGGGGTTTTGGGTTTAGGGTTTAGGGTTTAGGGTTTCGGGTTTAGGGTGTCATGATGTTCTTGGCGTGGGTCTTGCGAGCCAAGGCATTCTCTATGATCAGGAGAAGATTATGAAGAAGTGTCATGAGATGAGCGCCAGCCTCGCCGCTTCCGCAGAAGATAGAAGCACTTCAACCCTAAGGCCGAAACCCCTGAGATTCCTGCACCCTTAGCCATATGGACCCCTACACCCTCAACCCTAAAGGCCCTAAACCCTACACCCTAAGTCCTAAGCTTCAACACGACCCCGACACTCCTTTAGAACCCCAGGACCGTTGCCAGGCCCGAAACCCTGCAATTCAAGGTTTCATGGGTTTCGGGTTTACCCAAAGGGATGTGTTTCAATTATTCTGCATTCTTATTATTATCATTGTCGTTACTATTAATTAGGTTATTATTACTATGTCTTTGTTGTTTAGGGCATAAACTGGGTGGGGGTTCTTTTTGAGTATGTTTTTTTGGTGTTTTTTTGGTTTTCTAAACCCTAAACCCTAAAACCCTAAAACCCTAAAACCCTAAAAACCCTAAAACCCTAAAACCCTAAAACCCTAACACCCTAAAACCCTAAAACCCTAAAAACCTAAAACCCTACAACCCTAAACCCTAAAACCCTAAAGCCCTAAAACCCTAAAACCGTAAAACCCCAAAACCCTAAAACCCTAAAACCCTACAACCCTAAAACCCTAAAACCCTAAAACCCTAAAACCCTAAAACCCTAAAACCCTAAAACCCTAAAACCCTAAACCCTAAACCTAACCCCTAATTAAACCCTAAACTCTAAACCCCAAGCCCCAAACCCCTAAACCCTAAACCCTAAGCCCAAAAACATACCCCAAAAAAAAGCCAAAAAAAAAAACCCCCCCCCCCCAAAAAAAAAAAAAAAAAAAAAAGACTCCGCATAAGCTCCCAAGTGAGGAAGCCAGAGCCAACAAAAAGCGACATTTGAGCCGTCAGGTCCGGTGGTCATTTTAAAGTGCCAGCATTTATTCTTAGTAGCTGAATGAGTACACTTTACACTTTTTGGGATACTACACTCCCCTATAGACCTGAAAGTGCACTCTGTTTTGGGGCCTGTGCACTCAGCAACTAAGTATTCTGAAAGCAGCGACCGCCCTTAAAAGAGTTTGAACGGGGTGCCCAGGCCCGAACACTACTTTCGGCGCCGCATTTCACCAATGTGGTTCCCTTACAACTCCCTCGTTTTGAAATAAGCTACCCGGAACACCCCCAAAGGGTCCATGTACCTATATAGTAGATACTTGGGCCTTAAAGGGGTTCCTATATAGTAGCTCTAGGGGCCAAGTATATACTATATAGGTACATGGACTTTTAGGGACCCATTATAGGTCCTTAAACGACGGCTACCAGGGTGCAAGCGCCTTAAGTGTTCAGGGCTTCAAGTGGATGTGTCCGAAGTTAGGGGTACCTTCTTGGGGTCCTCAATTATACGGGTATTTGGGAGGCCATATGAGGGGTGAAGCCCTAAACCCTGAACCCTGAACCCTGAACCCTAAACCCTAAACCCTAAACCCCAAGCCCTAAACCCTGAACCCTAAACCCTAAACCCTAAACCCTAAACCCTAAACCCCCAAGTCTGTTTTGGGGCCTCCGAGGGCAGCGTGGAGCGGACACTGCGGACCTTAGTGGCTTCCGTGGGGCGCCTGGAAGCAGGGCTCGGCTTTCGGCTCTGAACACAAAACTTGGGATGCTACCCCTTTCTCGTAACAGTCCTTATTCGGGATTATCCAAACTTCCTAAACTCTGAACCCCTGAGCCGCGCGCTTTCGAGGTTCGGGAGTTGGTGTTCAAGAGCTGGGGCAGGGGAGATTTTGGACCTAGTGTGTGGGGTCTCTTGAAGCCGGCTTCAATGAACCCCAGGCCCTAAACCCTGAGTTCAGAACCCTCTAAGCCCTGAACCCTAAACCCTCAACCCTAAACCCTAAACCCTAAACTAAACCTCAGACCCACAGACTTCGGCCTCCTAAACTCCGAAACCCTGCACCCCTTAAGCCCCCCAGCTATGCTCTGCAGCCCTAAGCTCAAATCCCTAAACCCTAAACCCTAAACCCTAAACCCTAAACCCTAAACCCTAAACCCTGAGCCTTTCCGCTTAGTGTTCTAGGACCCCAAAGTAGCCCCTTAATCGCCCTTTTCCTAGGTTGTCGGTTCTCTTAAACGGCGCCCGTTTTATGCCCCTGGGCTACTCTTGGGGCCGTATCTAGGGGTCGTAATAGTTGCTGATGGTATTTCCTTCTGGTCCCCTTATAATAATACTAGAATAACCCCCAAAACCCTATTCTATTTATTGATGCGTTGAGGGCTGTGCGCTGCTACAGGGGGGCCAGCCGAGGTCTGTGCAGTGGAGAGGGGGTCCACTGTTTTTAGGTTGTGCTTGGAGGTTCATGGGTAGCCACACACGGAGGCTAGGAGTAAGGTAAGTATAACTAGAACTGGTTGCAATCTTATTTAGGGTACTGTACCTATAACTTATAGGCCTTCTTAAAACGAGCCGTGAACCTCCAAGTAGGGTTTCGGGTCAAGACCGAAGTCTACGGTGGTCTAGGCTTCAGGGTTCAGGGTTCTTAGGGTTTAGAGTTGATAGGGTTGATAGGGTTTGGGGTTTAGGGTTTAGGGTCTAGTTCTTTCCGTGGGAGGGTTTGTAATACATATCTCCGATCCACTCCATAAATCCCAAAGAAGCCCTAATCCCATACCACCCAAAATCCTGACGCCTAAGCACCCTAAACCCTAAGCCCTATGTCCTAAGCCCTAACCCTACACCCTAAACCCCAAACCCCAAACCCCAAACCCCAAACGCGGAGGCGAAGGCGGAGCCGGATGCGAAGAGAGGCCGGGACGCACTGAGTTGAGCTCGGGAGGGGCCCCCGAAACCCTCAACCCGAAACCCTGAACCTTTCTTGAGGGTTTAGGGTTTAGGGTTTGGGGTTTAGGGTTTAGGGTTTAGGGTTAAGGATTTAGGGTTTAGGGATTAGGGTTTTAGGGTTTTTTCGGTCGGTTGGATATTGGGATGTTTCCCCTTTCATGGGAGTTGTAGAATCCCGATTAAGGACCGTTAGTATAAGGGGAACATCCGAACTTCAACCCTAAACCCCTGAACCCTGCAATCTACATCTTCATCCTAGGCCCCATATGAGGGTTCTCTGGTTTAAGGGTTTAGGTTTCCGAGGGGAAAGGGTTTAGGGTTTAGGGTTTAGGGTTTAGGGTTTAGGGTTTAGGGTTTAGGGTTTAGGGTTTAGGGTTTAGGGTTTAGGGTTTAGGGTTTAGGGTTTCGTGGGTTTTTTTTTAAAGGTTCGTTGTTTCAGTTTCATTACACAAGAAAAGGCACCTAAACCCGAGAGAGTCTGCTTTGACGTTGTAGCAGCGTCAGAGTGCCCTTGGCATGCATAGAGCGGACGCATCGATCACGCTGAAAGGGTTTAGGGTTTAGGGTTTAGGGTTTAGGGTTTAGGGTTTAGGGTTTAGGGTTTAGGGTTTAGGGTTTAGGGTTTAGGAATATGATCCCAAGCCTAGGCTTCATGTCGTTCCCATGGCTCCAGGGGCACGGCCGAACAGAGCAGAGAAGTGTAGGGTTTAGGGTTTTGGGATTAGGGAGCAGTTTACATGACTTGATCATAGACAGCGCCAGCAACAATTGCTCTGCTTTGCATGCTTTTGTGTTTATGTGCTTATAGGGTTTACATGGTCCGTTCTCTAAATCATGGTGCCTTTTGGGGTACCTTCAATAACAGGGGAGGCCTAAAAATAAGGAATCCAGAAAGGACCCTAATTGAGAGAAATCACCATATGGGCTCTAGGAAGTTCCGAGTTGAAATCCTTTCTCCATGAAGGCCTTCAATGTGCAAAGCAACCTGGCAACTCGCCGAGCTTTGAGAAAAACCCGGGGCGCCCAGGCCGCCAAAGACCCCAGCAACCCTAAACCCCAAACCCGAAGCCCTAAACCCCAAACACAAAACCCCACCCCGAAGTTGAACATGAACCTGCACCGGCTATACCCTGCAACCCCTTCAAAAGAGGCCGTTTGTAGGCTGGTTCAGGTTAGGGGGAGTAGAAGGCCTGATAGCCCATGCTGGAAGGTCGTTTGGCGGCACCGCCGTCAAAGGACGCAGTACTCTGTCATGCTGGGCTTTGGGCTTCGGACTTGTTGGCTCTGAACCCCTCAGCTGAAACCCTTAATAGTTAGAATTGGGTTTTGCTTTGGGGGTTAATGATTATAGTATTGTTATAAAGTGACCATAAGGGAATACTATTGAGTAATTAGATTTGGGGCTAGATTTCCTTGCAAGCCACTTTCCATCGGAAAAAAGAGGGCCACCCGTTCTATTTTTCAGGGCTCAGAGGTTTGGGATTTTGGAGCGCAGGGTATGGAGACATGTCTTCGAGCTGGCTGCCGGGATTGTTAGGGTTTGGGGTTTAGGGTTTCGGGTTTAGGGATAAGGGTTTAGGGTTTAGGGTTTAGGGTGCCTTTTCTCGTGCTTTGTTGAGCCAAGCTCAGGGTTTGCGGTTACCCTGGAGCACCCTTAGACCCTTTACATCCGTTTCGAAAGGGAAGCATACCTTCTTGTGTATTTACCCTTTTCAGGGTTTAGTTTAGGGTTTAGGGTTTTTAAGGTTACTCTAGACTCGAGGTAGGGGTTAGGGGTCACAGGGAAGGACTCCGGCTCCCTCCGGCCCCAGACAGGACGACGCGCTGTCTGCTTCTGAAGACGGCAGCAACACCAGATTTACGGTGTAGGTGAAGTGAAAGTTTTGTTTTTGCTGGGGTTGCCGTGCTTGGTCGAGCTCACAGGGCTCAGGGCGGATGAAGGTTGCCACTGGTTTGATAGAAATACAAAAGGCTGCTTGTGGTGTTTGTTTTAGGGCCTAGGATTTACGATCTCTGCCCTCCCCCCCCCTCCTCCCCCCAAACCCCCTCCAATAAATATAGCGAGGCACAGCCCACCCAAGCCCGAGAACCTCCTCCCTACGTCCTGAGCACGAGCACTGCTTGCTGGCCATGGGGGTGCGGGCTCCCTGAAGGGCCTTCGCAGCTGATGCTCACGATGCTCGCAAGGGCCTTCGGCCTGAGAACTCATTCTGGGATGGGTTCTGTCCCTTCAGGGAACCCGAAGTTAGAGCTGAAAAGCCTAAACCCTAACTCCTGCATGTGGGTTGCGTGGGCCCGTGGCTTTTGGCTAGGTTGCTGGTGCCATAGACACCTTGCGGTTTAGGGTTTAGGGTTTAGGGTTTAGGGTTTAGGGTTTAGGGTTTAGGGTTCCCGGCTTAGGGCTTATAGGGCATAGGGTTTCGCTCGCCAGGATCAGTGCAATTCCAAATTCTGTGACATTCCCCAGAGAGTCCATTTGTAATACTATTATGGATTTAGGGTTTAGGGTTTAGGGTTTAGGTACCCCAAAACCCTATTGAGTATGGTTTGTTGGTACCTAATTCCAGAATGGCAATACAAATGGACCCTCTGGGTTCTCTGGCTCTGAGATTCCCAATGTCGAGCCATTTTCCACGTTCTGACGCAGATCCGTCGCATGAAAGAGAGGGCGGCTGCCCTTGTGCTGTAAAGCAAACGCCAGAAAGTTGGAACATGGTATTCCCTTCAGTATACCTTTTGGGGGAATGATGCGGATCAGGATGTTCCACCCTAAAATGTGTGTGAAGTGCAGTAACCTGACTATGGATCAGACCTTGGGTTGAACTGCACGGCGAAACATGAAGGTGGATGTTCCACCCTAAGCCCTAAACCCTAAACCCTAAACCCTAAACCCTAAACCCTAAACCCTAAACCCTAAACCCTAAACCCTAAACCCTAATTCCAACTTTTTGCAGTTTACTGCATGAAGCTTGGTGACGCTGCGGGGTACCTTCGCAGAGCAAGGAGAGCCAGCTTTTCTGACAGGAGCATTGGGGGTTTAGGGTTTAGGGTTTAGGGTTTAGGGTTTAGGGTTTAGGGTTTAGGGTTTAGGGTTTGGGGTTTAGGGTTTAAAGTTTAGGGTTTAGGGTCAGAATGCCAGAGTCCCGAGGTCATTTCGAAGGGACAAAAACATGTGCAGACGACTAGCAAGATCTTAGGGGCACTGCAGCTACCCCGCTTTTCAAATCCAAGCATTTTTCAACAAGCTTCCAGCTGCTGCCAGCTGGTTCCACCCTCCGCCGACGCGAGCAGAATCTCAGATGCTCTTGAACCAACTGTTTTGGCTGCCCCAAACTTCGGTCAGAGTAGGTTTGGCAGTTCTCCCCCCCCCCCCCCTCTCCCAAAAAAAACAAAGATCCCTAAGACTCCAAGTTCACAGACACAAGCACCAGCTCTCAAAACGAATAGGGTTTAGGGGTTTATGGCACCTCTTTTTGGGCTATTTGGTGCCCTGCTGGAAACTCAGCCGGTATTGCAGCCACCAACGATCCGCGGATGCCGCTTCATCTCTGCGCCACCGCATCTGCCCTAGCCTCATTGGAAGTCAAAAAGGCGCACGTCGCAACCACCAAATGTAGTAGTAGGACCAGTTAGTAGAAGTAGAAGTAGAAGTAGAAGTAGAAGTAGAAGTAGTAGTAGTAGTAGTAGTAGTAGTAGTAGTAGTAGTAGTAGTAGTAGTAGTAGTAGTAGTAGTAGTAGTAGTAGTAGTAGTAGTAGTAGTAGTAGTAGTAGTAGTAGCGGTAGGAGTAGTAGTAGTAGTAGTAGTAGTAGTAGTAGTAGTAGTAGTAGTAGTAGTAGTAGTAGTAGTAGTAGTAGTAGTAGTAGTAGTAGCAGTAGCTGTAGCTGTAGCAGAAGCAGCAGCAGCAGTAGTAGCACCAATGAATGCTGCTAGTTATAGTAACAGTAGCAGTGCGAATATTCACAGCAAGAAAGATGCTAAGACTGATAGTAACGTCAAGAGTAACATCCTGGATCATCAGAATGACACTGCGAAGAACAGCGATAGCGATGATAAGAATAGTAAGAACTATAAGGATAATAGTAACAATGATCGTCGTAGTCATACTACTCTAATTGTCACGGTACTATATAGGAATGAGAATTATAGCAGTCATGGCAATTTTGGCGATGATGATTTACGACGACCACGACCACCATCACCACCACCGTCGTGTAATTGTTGTTATGAGAATGAATTTCCGCTGGGTGTCTGAACTTCATCCGCCATCGGGAAGTGCCGGACTCCACCCCCGGCTTGTGAACTCACGAAACCGCAGATCTCAGCTGCCCTAAGCCCCAAATTTTACGTTCTAAAGCTGCAGGCCTTAACCTACACCCTATACAATCTCAGCCTGAAACCCTAAACCCTAAACCCTAAACCCTAAACCCAAGACTCTTCTGAGTCCACGCTTGGAGCAGGAACAGCTGAGGTTCATCAAGAGGGAGCTGTCCCGAACCGAGGCCGAACATTCTGTGGGTTTAGGGTTTAGGGCTTAGGATTTAGGGTTTAGGGTTGAACATTCTGTGGGTTTGAGGGCTCACGGCCGTTTAGGGTCTTGTGTTGGGGGCTTTGCTTTAGGATTGGACGTCGAGAAATTCTGCGACAAGGCGAGGTCGAGATCCCAATCTGTTACTTCGAGTGGACATTTGTTTAGATGTTTAGGGGTTTAGGGGTTTAGGGTTTAGGGTTTAGCGGCTTCATGGGGGGCCTCTGGAGGCTTCAGGGCCCTCTGCCTTCAAAGCACCTCTTCTGATAGATTTCGCATGGCGGCACTAGTTCCGCGACCCTCAGTGTCTCAGAGCCCCCTATTACTATCGCCCACCTGGACGGCCCAAATCATACCACCCCCGTCTATACTACCCCAAGGTTCCCCCACTAAATGACCTTAATTCCCTAAATAGCCTTGACTCTGGGGAGGAAAGTATAGAGGGGGTAGTGGGGGAACCCATGACATGAGGACTTAATACCTACTTCTCTGTAGGTTCTTCTAGATCCCCTTAGTTAAACTTAGCAGCTGAGTGAGCACACTTTACACTCTTTGGGATACTATAATCCCCTGTAGAACTGAAAGTGTACACTATTTTGGGGCTTATGAACTCAGCAACTAGGATTATGGGGGGGGGGGGGGGGGGGGAGGGGAGTTTTGAGGGGGGTAGTAGGGGAACCCCCTAAACCCTAAACCCTAAACCCTAAACCTCAATGCCATGACCAAAGTGCAATTCGGGCTGCCAGGAGACCACGCGGGTGCTGGAGGGAATGCTGGCACCGCTCCGCATGTTGCGTGCAGTAGGGGTTTAGGGGTTCGGGGGTTTAGGGTTTAGGGTTTAGGGTTAGGGTTTCGGGTTTAGGGGTTTAGGGGTTAGGGGTTTAGGGGTTTAGGGGGTTTAGGGGGTTTAGGGGTTTAGGGGTTTAGGGGTTTAGGGGTTTAGGGGTTTAGGGGTTTAGGGGTTTAGGGGTTTAGGGGTTTAGGGGTTTAGGGGGTTAAGGGGGTTTAGGGATTTAGGGGTTTAGGGGTTTAGGGGTTTAGGGTTCAGGGTTCCCTGAATTCCGCGCCAAACCTTGAACCCTCCACCCTGGGCCCCGATATCCTATACTTCCAGGCACCTATAAACCCGCTAGTCTAAACGCTCTAAACCCTCTAAACCCTACAGCCTAAGTCTATACTTCCAATAGTTTGGTTTCGGGAACTTGAAGAACCGAGAGAGCGGCAGGCGCAGCTGCGTTTTTTTTTTTTGAAGCTTGTGTTGGGATCCCCAGTTTTTCGGGTTCAGGGTTTAGGGTTTAGGGGGATTTAGGGTTTAGGGCTTAGGGCTTAGGGCGGTTTAGGGTTTAGGTTTTAGGGTTAGGGTTTAGTCTCCCTGACAAGCGCACTTTAACCAAAAAGGGCACCCTTTGCATTCCGAGTTTACTGGGTCGAGGTTATTACAAGCAGCTGTACATAGGTAGTTCTCCAAAATAGTCTTGAAGGGTCTCCTCTATAATACGCAACTGTATGATAAGAACACAAACGGGACCCTGATTTTGAGAGCTTCCCACATGTCTTTGCATTTATATGTCATAAAGATCGGGGAATATACACATGTAGATGTGTGTGTGTGGGTGTTGGTATACAGTGGTCTGTTCATATGTGCAAGGGAACGTGGTACCACGATTTACGCTACGGTGTGGAAGCACACTTTCAACAGCATACACGCATCAAAATCATGGTCCTCTGAGTCCGTGCAGGGCAAAGTTGATCCCACATTCAAAATCCATGCAACTTCGGACCTGCTGTGAAACACACGAAGGACCCTAAGCCATGGAGCCTGAGATCTTAACACCCAAGACCAAACCCTAAACCCTAAACCCTGAAACCCTAAACCCTAAACCCGAAACCCGAAACCCGAAACCCCAGGCGCCCAAGCTCTCCCTCGCCCCCCCCCCCCCCCCCCTCGCCTGCCAGCACGAGAACCAAGAGAAAGCAGAGCGACTCCAAGCAGAGCTTCCCAGGCCGTCGTGTTAGGGATCCAACACCGTGTTTAGGGTTTAGGGTTTAGGGTTTTTTGTTGTGAAACTTAGGATTTTTCTGTTGGGTATGCAGGTTGTAGGGGCCTAGGATTTCCGACCCGAAGTAGAAGGGGGCTTTATATTATCGGAGCAATCTACCAGGACCTACCAACATGTATGTTGAAAGGTGCAGGGAGGTTTTGGGCTTGAGGTTTTGGGCTTTGGGTTGTGGACTTTGCGGCTCGATCATACCCTACGTAACCCCTAAACCCCTTAAACCCTAAGCCCAAAATGGGTTTGCACCTTGGATTCGACGCCCCCAAAGGTTGCAATGTTGTTTTTG